GAGCTTAGTGCAAACAGGTTCTCAAATCTTACACTGAGCTGGAGCAGAGATACAGGTTTTTTTGGCCTTAAACTCGCCATCACTGAGGCATAAGCCAGTTCGACAAAGAATGCGCCTGGAACAATAGGAACACCATTGTTTTTATGCTCCCAAAGATATGGTGCAGTCTCTAAAGAGAGGTTGCATATGTACTCTTTGTTATCCTGCTTTATTGGGGATATGAGCATGTGAGGGGGAAATGCAGATGATTCATTACCTTTTATCACAGCTTCAAAATGCAATTCCTTTGTTGTGTTGACAAACTGGTAGACTGGAAACTCTGTGGGCAATGTTTCATAACCCCTGTACAGCTGATGCCAATCTACACTGTTGCCTAGTTCAAAGAGTTTGGCCACGGTGGACAAGATTGTGCTGAAATCTTTCTCTGGTTGGACTGAGGGAAGAACTACGGTGTTATTTCCAAAAGTTTCATGTATGTTCCTTTGGAGAGCCCTACGGGGCCCAATCTCCACAAAGACCACATTTGTCCTTGAGTGCTTGTCTTTGGTGACAGCGTGCAGTGCTTGTTCAAATAAAACAGGCTCCCTAATGTTCTTTGCCCAGTAGCTGCCTGTTGTAAAGTCACCATCTGAATAACATTTACCAGTCACCGTTGAAAAAAGTTTGCACTCCTTGTTTTTGGCATACAAGGGATTAATACTTGTCTCAATGTCATCAAGTATGGGATCCATCATATGACTATGGTATGCTGCTGGTACATCTAGTTCATGGAGGAAGAGATTTTTCTCTGCAAACATAATCTTCAGCTTCTCATGAAGGATGGCTATAGCATCTGCATCTCCTGACAGAGTGCAGGATTGGGGGCTGTTGAGCGCCGCAACACAAATTTTACCAGCAAACTCCGGAAGGGTTTTTAATACCTTTTCTACAGCCACATTACTAACAACAAGCATTTTTCCTCCTGTGACCTTATTCTGGAGCGTACTGCGGTGGTACAACACTTTCACAGCATCCTCAAGAGACAAAAGACCAGAACAGTGAGCAGCAGCAACCTCACCAACAGAGTGTCCAAGCACAGCGTCAGGTTTGATACCCCAGTGCTTTAGGAGGGCTGCAATTCCAACCTGAACTGCAAAAATAAGAGGTTGGACAACATTTGGCCTGCTGAAATCATTATTATCATATTCACCAGAAAGCCATTGACTGATGCTGATGTTTTTATGACTCTGAAAGAGATTCTCTACTTCTCTGACCTTATCTCTGAAAACAGGAACCTCTGTTAGGAGCTGTTTGCACATACCACTGTAGGCAACGCCATTTCCACAAAACACAAAGACCAGCTTGATGTCAGGACTTATTGATTCAACCTTTGCTTTCAACACAGATGTCAGCTGATGTTTTAACTCTGAGAGGGAAGATGTTGGGAAGGCTCTTCTATATTTGTGCCTAGAATGACTCCTTCCACATGCGGAAGTGTAGGACAGGGCCTGTAAGTCAACAGTTTGATCATTGCAAAGCCTCTGGTAGGTGTCAGTGACAGACAGAATAAATGATTTCTCACAGGCTGCAGATGTTACAAAGACATTTGTACAGCTTTTTGGGATCTGATTTGGTACCGTGGTCTGTCTGTACTCTCTTACAATCGCATGTGCATTTGTGCCTCCAAATCCAAAGCTGTTGATCCCAGCTACCCTTTCTAATGACCCCTTTGTCTCCCATTGTTCAGCTTTGGTTGGAATTCTTATACAAAGAGCTTTTACATCTACACTGGCATTGTCTTCTGAGTAGAAAACTGACGGAACAATGGTTGCATGCTTCATCATTAAAAGTACCTTTATCAGTCCGGCCACTCCAGCTGCAGATTCTGTATGTCCAATGTTGCCCTTGACAGAGCCAATCCACAGCGTCTCTGAACCAGGAGGTTTGGCTTTAGCAATGACATTTGAGATGCTTCCTGCTTCTGTTGGATCTCCAACTGGGGTTCCTGTCCCATGTGCCTCTATGTACTGGACATTTGCAAGGTCAGACTCTGAGTAGATGTTGCGCAGGAGTTCCTCTTGTTGTGTCATGGATGGTTTGGTAATCGGAGTAACAGAGTGTCCATCTTGGTTGACCGCTGTTTTGCTGATGATACCCCATATTCTGTTGCAGTCTTTTATGGCCTTTGTAGAGAAAGTGACACTATTAGCAGACTATCTATTTTCCCTTCTGTTTGAAGTGTATTAATAGCATGAAATTACTGTAAAAATCTTACCTTTTTCAGCGGCTTCAGGAGAACTACACCACAACCCTCCCCTCTACCGTAGCCATCTGCTCTGCTAGAGAAAGGTTTGCTGGTCCCCTCAGGTGAGATCATCTTTGCCTTGCTGAGAGCAACAAACACTCTTGGTTCTAATATACAGCTGACTCCTCCACACAGAGCCATATCGCAGTCTCCTAGTTGAAAAAGAGAGTGAAATAAAATATGAAACATTTGAATGTGATGCATTGCTCTTAGGAATGACATTTGTATGGGAAAAATATTAACCACATACCTTGCTTTATAGCCTGGCAGGCTAAATGAAGCACCACCAAAGATGAAGAACAGGCACTGTCAACAGCAAATGAAGGGCCGGTGAGATTAAAGGTGAAGGATATTCTATTGGCCGCCACACTCATGGCTGTACCGGTGCCGTTGTAGTGGTTAATCGTAGTTGGACTGTTACTTTGGAGTATTTCGTAATCCCTGTTCATTAGACCTGCAATACCATTCAAAAACAAAATGTCAGTGTGTTTATCATAACAATATGATTTGACTTTTTGATTTATGTATGTGAAAGATAGTAATTACCCATGTACACTCCAGTTCTGGTTCCGCTGATGCTTTCCATAGCTATACCCGCATCTTCTAATGCCCTGTATGTACACTGCAGAAGGAGTTTCTGCTGAGGGTCCATGAAATCAGCCTCTACTTCAGTAATGCCAAAAAACCTGTGATCAAACTCATTAAACCTGAAATATAAAATAGCAGATTTATCAACATGTTTTAAAATGTGGGGATTAACATTTGATTTTGCCAGAAAATGCTTACCCTTCTATTAGAGCTGCTTTGGTTGTTTGTGTCTTTCCGGGTTTGCTCTCATCAGCATCATACCAAAAGGTGGTGTCAAATCTCTCTGGTGGAATATCCACAACGCAGTTCTTTCCCTCCAACAGAACCTTCCAGAAATTGTCCAAACCTTCACCTAAAATAGAATGTACCACAATTCAAGAATTAACCTTTAGACTACCTCGAAAAAAAACACAGAGAAATTCAAAATACTTCAATCATACCTCCAGGGAAATTGCATCCAATCCCGATAACCGCTATGTCATCATTTGCGTCCTCCATTATTCCTCTGGTATGGCAGAAAGGTGGCTCTGCGGACATGGTTGCTTTATTCAAAAACCCAAAGAGAAACTTCAAGCTGTTCCATAGTGAAGCTTAATGTGCAGTCCTGGCTGCTCTTTCTTTGGCAGAGCTAGTGCTGCTGTTCCTGTAACCCTTTATAAACATTGTGCCAATGAAAAGGGGGGCGCAACAATGCCCTGCCTTGTTGCACCTCACTTGACTTCACCTGGAACTATATACACTAATTGTAACTTAAGATCATTCAAAGGGAGTAGTGAATACATTGTTTTTCTTGTTTGCAGTTTAACAAAAGAGCTCAGTGTCAAATAAAGTCTGCTTTTTCAAGGCAGACATTTAAGTCCTCTAAGTGGTCATTTCCAAAGAAACCTGTGATCACCTAGTATCTCAAAGGAAATAGTAACCTTTTAACCTCATAGATGTTCCTTAACAAATAATCATTAAGACAACCTGATTAAGGTATCAGGTGTTAAAAGAGATTAAGAACACAAGAGAGCACATTCTTTCTCTATTGAGATCTATTACAAAAAGACAAACGTATGCTTTAAAATATATAAGAATGATATTATTTGTATTTATAACTAATTGGCTGAACACATAATCTGCAGATATATGCATACTTATTAACCAAAGTCTATTGACAAATGCAACAGTAATTATTATAATACAACTGGTCAAACTGATATAATAAACCCCAGTAAAACGTTATGCATTACACTAACGCACATCACATCATGCAAACATTATCTTGCTACTTTTTCAATTGTTATTCCTTTGCACATTTCTTCTCCACACTACCTCTTTCAAATCAGCACAGCTCTCCACTTTACATACAGCATATAGTATTTGTCATATGCAAATATTGTTAATTTGTTAGAATAGTCTTCAAATAGTTCTTGTAAAAAGCTGTCATAAGAGTCAATTTTATTTTATTTTGCTACATATTTTTCTTTCTATGTCTTTGTATGCATCACACATACCAAACCTACTTGTTAATAAAACCGCTTCTGATTCTGAAAATATTTGCCTTCATTTTTTGGACATGTTGTTATGTTGGAGCCTTATCCTGAAAGTGTTTAGCACTTCACTCACCCCCATGATGAGAAAGAGGAATCATTTGCAGATACATTTAAATTATATCACATTTACATAAGTATTCAGAATCTTCAATCAAAATCAAGCCTCCCATTTCTCTTTATCCATTTAGGAATATTTCTACAGAAGCCATGCAATTGAATGAACTATCCAGCCCTATGTTTCTGTGTTGCTCTGCATCCACATTGAACCAAATCCAAAAATTCCCATTTTTACTTGATGTGTGTGTGTCCATTTCAACAATGGAATTCAGTTCATAAAAATATGCTGTAGTTACAAAAGCAGAGGGTTAAAAAAACACATTTAAACATTAGGAATCATTTGTGTTTTAAATAGGTGACTAAATAATATTGTACCAAAGAATGTACCCATAGTAAAAATAATATGTATTGGAGTTATTTATCTTCAAAGGAATGCTAAAGACTCCTTCTGTAGGATATTAAAAATAGAAACAGTTACTTACACGTTACACATTTGCTAGTCATGTCATCACATTGAGTCATGTACTGAACACCAATTTCATGAGTAAGGGTAACCTTTATTTGAGCTTCAAGAAAGCCTTTGTCTAAAAGAACAAACAGAAGCACAAAGGCAATCCTTTTACACGCTGACAGTATATATACACAGTTCCCCTCCTATATCAGCTACACGTGAGCTTAGAATCACACAAGGGAATATTACTAATTTCAGAAAGAGAACAACTTTTGGGCACTTAAATAAATAGGAACAAACAAAATAGATGCGACTGAAAGACATAATCTAGAGATTGAACTCTATTATGAACAGCAGAATCAACTGTACCTTGGTACATTCTAGATTGAGGTCTTTTAAGGTTCTATGGTGTTGACTTGTCTGTACAAATGTGTATGAGACATAGACATACATGAAAGCATTCATCGCACCATGACCTTTGTCAACTTGCTCTATAACCTCGTAATGTTACCAAATTTGTATAAAATGATGCCTTTTGTCTTGGGAGTTGAGGATAATAAGCCCTTGACGAAACCTGTGGACAAACACGTGGAGACCCCATTTTTATTTCATCCAATTAAACTGTGATTTCTTAAAAAGATTGCTGTGAAACCAAAAGTCTTCTCTACAGGAAAAGCAAGAGAAATGAAGATAAAATAAAAATGTATAAGGGGTGAAACATCTTCACATCTATAATAAGAGGGATTCAAACAAATGAAATACAAGGCCTCCAAAAGGCCAGTGCGCAATTGCACAGCTTCATATATACATAATACAAGATTTTCTAAAATATCTACTGAGGTATCGGGAGGTCTAGTGATTTGTCCCCAAGCAACATCTTGATCTCTTTGGCATCCAGAGTCTCATGTGCTAGCAGGGCGTCCGCTAGCTTCTTGTGCTCCTCACTGTACGTCTTCAGGAGGGATTTAGCACGTGCGTAAGAGTCCTGGATCGAATAGGAAGATAGGTCAAAAATAAATGGATTAAGAAACAGATACATTATTAAACATATCTGACAAATAAAGTCAATGCTGTAGGAAACTCACATGCAGTAAAACCCTGACTTCCTGTTCGATGGCTGCTTGTGTCGCGGGGCTCTGCTTGGTCACGTCCTTGTAGGTCATCACCCCAAGCTGCAACAAAACACAAATGACTTCCGTTAGACAAAAGAACAATAGACTTCCTCATGCATCATTATACGCTGCGAAGCTTTTTCCCAGGACTCCAGAATGAAATACTTTTTTTGCTTTAGGAGTAATTATATGTTACAGTGTCAAGAGGACTGAAGGGTTTCATTGTAACGTAACAATAAACCATTCTCCCGGTCTCTGAAGAACAGCTGAAATCAACATCATCAGAATAAAAATTGAAATTTGCGCTACCACTTTATTGTTTATATACACTATAAAAACACTTCCAAAGCAATAAAATCCACAAAACAGCACTATTGAGTATTTCTTTTTGTCATTTATGTTAATGGTAAGTATTAAAAATGTCCCCTAATCAACCAAACAAATTAAACCGTTACCTTGTCACTCATGCCGAACCTGGTCACCATCATTTTGGCTATTTTGGTCGCTCCATCAAAGTCACTGGAGGCTCCTAAAATACACATAAAGATACAAATAATCAAACTATTGTGTAGTAACACAGCACACAGATAATATAATCAGACATTAACTATAATATGGCAATGGAGTACTTGAGTGTGGATGTCAAATTATAAAAAAAGACTTTGTTTCATCACAGCTAAAATACAAATTGCTAAAAATGAAATTCTGTATTTCTTATTATAACACCGATCTGTCAAGGTACATTTGCTTTTTGAGTTCACACAGACTGTATTAAGAAACTATATACATATTGTGGTTACAGTGTGGTTGAAACATATTCTCTTAAACATAATTTCTGATGCTGATTGCACATAACACCCAGGCATCAACTAAAGGTATCTCTCCCGCACCAGTAGTGATGTTGTCATCTCCGAAGATCAGCTCCTCTGCTACTCGGCCCCCCATGCTCACATCCATCTGAGCCAGCAGCTGGGCTCTGGTCTCACTCCAGCGGTCATCCTCTGGGAGCATGGACACCTAAAGGACAGAGACAAAGACAATATGTTTAGCTTTAGGTTTAATGAGACAAAAACAGCACTTATTAGGTATATTGGAAGAGCTTACATGGCCAAGAGTTGGGCCTCTGGGCATGATGGTGGCTTTATTGATGGGCATTGCGTCTTTGGTGTAATAGGCTACAATAGCATGGCCGGACTCATGGTAGGCTGTGATGGTCTTATTCTTCTTGTCGATGTCAACACTCCTCCTCTCAGGGCCTGGTTTTAAAAAGGATTACAAAAATTCCATTCAGCTTTTCTATATTTTTCCTATCTTAGATCGAGTCGATGTAATCTGTCTCATGTGATGTCAGGGTTCCAGAGGAGATTTAAACACGGTGTGTACTCACCCATGAGGATCTTGTCCTTAGCAAACTCCAGATCTGTCATTGTGACCATCTCTTTCTCGTCCACGGCTGCCTTTAGGGCGGCCTGGTTCACCAGGTTCTCCAGCTCGGCCCCGGTGAATCCCACGGTCCCCCTGGCAATGATTCCTGCTTCCACGGCTGGAACAGAGCAACACAATAGGAAATGCCTTCTTTATAAAAAGGTGATCAGTGTTCAAGAGACAATGGTGTCCCTTCATAGAAATGGAAAACAGAGGTATTCTCACAGGTGTACCGCTCTGAATGCTTTGCGATTTCAGTTGATAAGGAAGGCTAATACTTGCAAAATGTGCAGGGTTTGTCAATAATATAAGAGAAGTTGCCACTTTTCTTTGCTGGTATTGGTTGAAAAGAGAATGTTGGTTCGTAAAATAAATCTAATGTTCTAAGTTTCCAATTTCAATTAGTTTCTGAATTGCCAAAAAATGTATAAGGATGACAAATAAAGAGTGCAGTAAGAAAGATATCCTGAGAGATTTGATTGCTGAGATATTCATTTAAAGAAAGTACCTTAATATTTAACATTAAGACCTACCAGGGTCCACTTTGATCTTGGAGAAGTACCAGTTGAGAATTTCCGTGCGTCCTTTCACATCGGGGCGAGGGACCGTCACCTGCATGTCAAATCTTCCTGGCCTTATCAGAGCGCTGGGAAGCAGGAAAGAAATATTAGTTAATAAATATAGTAGAGTGATCCCTAATTTCCATTTTAAATAAGCTTAAGGCAAATTAGAGCTTATGTGAAACAATGAATTGTAAACATACCTATCCAAAGCTTCTGCAAAGTTTGTAGCACCAACAACGATCACACCTTCATTTGGTTTGAACCTGTAAAATAAAAAAACATTAAGAGTTCAAAATGCAAAACATTTTTTCACACCAAGTCTGTTTAATGTCAAAGGCAGAAAACTGACCCATCCATTTCAGCCAGCAGCTGGTTGATGGTTTGTCTAGAATAAGGATGCATCGGAGACTCGATCCTCTTTCCTCCAACGCTGTCCAACTCATCGATGAAGATGACACAGGGAGCATTTGCTTTTGCCTCTTCTGCAAACCACAAAGACAGATTGTAGTTTGTTTCGATAAATCCTCAACTGGATACTCTTTCATTTTCTCCAAATCCAGCAGACTTACTGAAGAGGTTCCTGATACGACTCGCACCGACCCCCACAAACATTTCATCAAACTCTGACCCGGAGGCGTAGTAGAAAGGAACATCAGCCTCCCCAGCGATGGCGCGCGCTAACAGAGTCTTTCCGGTGCCTGGAGGACCAATAAGGAGGATCCCTGAGAGGATAACAGAGGGATAATACGTTTTAAATAACAGCATGTCAACGAAAAGACCTATTGCCACACTGTGCACTAATTTCCTGGACAACAAAAAATGAGGAAATGAAAGATCTAGAGACATTTTAAAATACCTTTAGGCAGCTTTCCACCCAGAACGGTGAACTTCTGGGGGTTCTTGAGAAACTCCACAACTTCTTGTAATTCATTCTTGGCCTCCTCCACTCCTTTGACATGCTCAAATGTCACATTCTTCACCTGGACGGGGTCGAGTGCAGAGTCAATACCAGATGTAGTGCGGAACCTCACTGTGAGAAAAAAACAAACAACTGGTTAGAACAGTAACACCGGAAGAAACGCTCCCTTTATTTACAGTGTTTTACAATGAACGACAATATGCCAACTGCAGCACATTTATGATGCAAATCTACGCTCCTTTTGACATGTATTATTCCCTACTATTAGAAAAGTTTTAGCATACTTGTATAAAGATATACATAGCTGTAATTTAGTGTAACTGTTGAATGCAGCAGAATCATAAGTCCAACCCTACATGCAAACTAAAGGAGGAATGCTATCTCTTATTAGTTATATTCTGAGGTATTAACTTAAAATAGGGACAATTTTGAACATATTTAAGATTAAAATAGGCTCAAGTGAAACTATTCCATTCCATCTTTTGGGAGATGAACAAGAAGTGTTGTATTCACAGTGTGCATGTAGGGTTTTGAGTGTAAGCATAGGAGAGAATAAGAACTGAAACAAACCAGCATCAGAAAAGGAGCCTTTACCCGAGAGAAACGGGGATCTCGACAAGCCATAAATCCCAACAAGAAGCAGGGCAATAAGGATCAACCTGGTTCTCCTCAGCGAGTCTGTAAACAGAGCAAAGACACTTATAAGATGTTTATGTAAATCATAAGGTCTCCCTGCAACTTAACTCAGCACTGCCACTCAAAGGAAATGTGGTGTTATCTTAATATTATACAAGGTTGCTTATCTTTGTTATTTATAAGTGTAGTGCCTGATAGCTAAGTAAGTGAGCCACATGCCTTGTGTTCTCTGAGTGAAGGCCTGAGATCTCATGAAGCCCTCACTGAAACCCGTCTTGAAAGCTTCCTGCTGGTTCTCTGGAAGGTTCTTCTGCTTCAGCACTTCGTCCAGTGATTCTGGTCCTTTTTCCCGCTGAAGCAATCCCTGTAAGGCAAACAGAAAAAGAGTTGGTTGGGAAAAGAACATGTGGCTTATTAAACTTCCAAATCTGCCCCGTATTGGCTTACCTTCATGAAAGCTGGTGTGTAGGGCTCAGATTCCACCGGACCGTCATACTCTGTTCGCCTGGTCGTTGGTCTAAAAGTCTTGAAGCCCCGACTCTGGACCAATACTAAAAATAGAGACATATTGAAAGCCACATTAAACACTACCCTTAAAATGTCAACTCATTCATACACATTGATAACTTTCACACAGCAGGTTACGTATTTAAAATCAGTTTCTTACCAGGCAAGAATTGTAGCTCTGAGCAAGCTGCTTTTAAAGGACTGTGGTGCTGTCTGTGGAATATTGGGCAGCCAAAGACCCCCAACGTCCTGTGTGAGAACCCTGTCAGACAAAAAGTAAACAAAGGGTTGTTCATATTTAAAGATTTATTGACAAATGTGCATAATTTGTTTCTTGAGTTACACATTTTTGAGATACGAAACCGTTCCATAAAGTAAGATATTCTTAGAAAACAATAAGGGTGTGAAGGCTCATCGCTCTGAGCTGCTTACCATGTTTGTTTTGAAAGAAGCTGTCTGCAGAAACGTGGCTCGACCTCCATGCTGAGGGGACAATGGGAGGTTCTTCTGGTGCGGGAATAGGCAGCAACCTGCTGAGCAGCTCATCCAGCTGACTTCCCCTGATCTCTGACAGGCCGAGGTCCCTCACACTGGGCTGTAAATACGGGGAAGCAAAAGTAGGTTATCTTCTTAATAAAATCATTACGTAGGTTTGGAAAAATCTTTAAACATTACTTACTATCACAATAATTTTTTAGAGACAGAAATGAAGTTAGACATACGTCATGACTTAGGAATTTGAAAAAAAAATTTGAACATTAAATAGACGATCAAGGTTGCAGGTACTAGTAGAAAAACACATATAGGTAAACAACCCTCTGACTATAAGGTAATAAATAGGGTATGCCTGCAGTACATTTTGATGGTGTGTTAACAGCGTCCTTTCAGTTTGTCAGGGACGCAGGACGACTATCTTTCCACATCACTGCTTCACCTTGTTTTTCTATGTTTTTTTCTGTAGGGAAACCTTTGGGATAAATGATTCAAACAATATTTAAAGTTGAACCATGAGAGATTCACTGTGGTTGATGTGTTTAATCAAAGTGTAAACCTCCAGAAAAGAGGGTTCTTTCTCACTCACAAAGGTGATTGCAGGGTGTTAATAGATAAAGATCTAGTGTTTACTACAGTTTATCCAACATAGACAATGTTCAGTATTATTTGTATGTCTGGTTCATGGTTACCAACTAAGTAAAATGAAATACATATGTGTAAAAACATACAAGTTCAGACAAAAGTCATTGATGATTATGTACAGTCCCTTCAGGGAATCATATCTTTAATCTGTGATGCCCATCTCACCTCTTTCAGATATGAACTGTGCTCTGGAATGAAGCCTTGTTGCAGGGTCTGGATTGAAGCTGTGGCTGAGGTCTTCAGCGATTGGAGGGCATTGATGAGCTGGCTGAGGGGCACTATCATCTGGCAAATATATAAACAGAGAAAAACACATGATGTAATGACCTTACTATATAGGCTAAACACAAATATAAGTTGATGTTTAAAGGTTTGCTAGATTTTGTTGTGAAACTTCCATACAGGGCATTGGGTCAGGACAATTACATCGGTTATTAAGGCTGACTCCACACTGCTCGTTGCCAATCACAGAGCAGTATGGCTCACCTACGTCAGATGTGTGACAGTTATATAACCTCAACTGTTCGAAAATGAAGTTAGCACCCTTCGACTTTATTACAACCTAGCACTTCCCATACATATAAGACGGTACAGTCATAAGCAAAACTGTACGTACGCATACAGCGTGACATAAGCAGAGGCTGATTATGACCGTCGCTTTGTTAATGCTAACATTAGCTGAGCTAGGTTGTCATTGAACGTTACAGAACACAGGACATAAACACCGACAGACCCCGCTTCTTATTCCTATACATCCCAGGACAATCCTGTACAGGCAACTCTGACTTGATAGCTTAATGACATTAAGTTAGCAATACGTTGACAGAATAGCACACATTAGCTAGCTAAAATACAATGCTATCCACGGCTTACCTGCTGGGGCTGAAACGACGCTGACAGTGAAAACATATTTGCAGAGTGACAATTCACAAATAGGATTTCGGGATTTGACGTGTAGGGGGAGGCCCTCTAAACAACTTAAATAAGCGAGTCCTCCCAGCAGCAGTGTCCTTTTGTTTGTACTTGTTACACAACTTTCAGCAGCTTAGCTAACAACAGCAAATGGATTCTTCGGCATCTGAGGTCAATTGACTGGACTACAATATTACGTCAAGTTGAATTACTACCGGGTGCAGCTTGCGTCATTGTGTGGACCCCAATGTGGACCTCAAACCGCAATGTTATCAGAAATAAACAGTAAATGAGAAAAATATAACTTTATTTGCATATTATAGGTACAGAAATTAGACTAGGCTGTCATTAAATATTTGTATTTTGTATTCTCTCTGTGTAGTTCACACACATTCGTTACTGCCTGATCAAAATGTAATTATTATCGTTCCATTAGCTATCTTATTTTCAGAAAATGTTAAACGTTTAGCAATTTGACAGAAAGAGTTAATAAATAATACATCTTTACAGTCATATCAATAACATGTCAATAACATGTCATGCTTTACATACAGGCAGTAACCTGTACAACTAAATTGAACGGACGTCCGAGGACCCCGCGAAAGAGCAGTGAATTCAAAATTTCAAAACAAACCTGATGTTGTTTTTCTTGATATGTAAGTGTTTACTCCGAGCTAGCTGACTGTTGGAGACACACAGCTTGAGTCTTCATTTGGAAAATGGACGTAGAAGGAAAGCACGATTCCAGTACCAATGAGAAAGTGGTGGATAAAGCTAAACCGACTTCTATCGAGGATTTCATCGTGTTGAAGCCAATCAGCCGCGGTGCTTTTGGCAAGGTGTACCTCGCTCGGAAGAAGTCAAATCCGCGATTATATGCCATAAAGGTCAGTTGGTTTGGTTGTCAACGATTTGAATAATCAAAAAGAGACTTATTTATTTAAATGTTTTAATTGTAATTGTTATTGTTCTCTTTAGATGATGAAGAAAGCAGATATGGTTGTTAAAAATATGACGCGCCAGATGAAGGCAGAGAGAGCTGCACTTGCTTTGAGCAAAAGCCCCTTCGTGGTTCAACTGTACTACTCCTTTCAGACTGCCACCAAGATCTTTCTGGTAACGCCCAAAGGCAAAAATAATGACACTTGCAAAAATACATTAATAGTGACTGCTTAAGATAATGCTTTATTTTTATGTTGCTTTCAGGTCATGGAATATCTCATTGGTGGAGATGTCAAATCTCTGCTACTCATGTATGGGTATTTCGACCAGGATATGTCTGTAAAATACATTTCAGAGGTTGCATTGGCTTTGGACTACCTCCACCGTCATGGTATAATCCACAGGTACTGTGATGCGATTTCTTTATGTATTGTTTAATGTTAATAACACTGAGTGAGTAGTCTTTTGATAAGACTTGTTGTATGACTTGGACACTTACCTGATTTACAACTTTTTAGGGACTTAAAGCCAGACAACATGCTTATATCCAACAAAGGACATGTTAAGCTGACAGACTTCGGCCTTTCTAAAGTCAAGCTTGACAGAGGTATGTAGTCCCATTCCCTTAACATTTGAACACATTGATCCCAAAGTGTAATGGTATTGATATTTCCTTTGTATTTAATCTTTTCAGAGCTGAGTATTTTGGATATCCTTACTACTCCATCCTTGGCTAAACCAACACAAGATTACTTCCGCACCCCGGGTCAAGTGCTCTCCTTAATCAGCTCACTTGGATTTGTAAGTGGATTAATATGACTTTGCGTGGAGAAATTCTCTAATAGCTCTTAATAGCTTGAAGTTCAATAATGATTCCTCTATCATATTTTATCAAACACAGAATTCACCTGCAGCAGAAGGAAAGCGTCACTGCAGCGCCTCTGCTGCGTCAAGTCCAATGTCCTGCGGCAAAGTTAGAAGGAAGAAAAACTCTCTTGGTTCTCCCTTGCTGAAGAAAAAAGAGCAGCAGTCACCGGCTAGATTCCCTTGGAAAACAGGTATGTCATGGTACATATCAAAGAGATACACATCTTGGCTATTTCCCACCCTTTTCATTAACATTGTGGAATGCAAGGAATGTTAAAGGGTACCTTCCTCGTGAGCTCTTGGCAAAGAAAATCCGATTTAACAGTTGCTTTATCTGTTATTTCTCCATAGGATCCAACAATGTTGTATTTAGTCCTCACAACCTGGCTAAAAAGCTGACCCCCACCCTGCTGAAGACCAGTAAGAGGTTTGAGACGATGAGTGCAGTCAGCACCACCGATACTGAAGGGGCCATCTCTCCAATGTGGGAGTGTGATGAGGTCAGTGATTGTTAACCTGACTGTATGTCATTTACAGTCTATTAAACACGGGTGTCCCGACCATTTTTGTCACCACCAGTTTGTTTAATTTCAAATTATGATTTAGTTTGAAATGGTTACAGATATGTTGGCTTATTGAGTTTAATGTTTGTAGTATTATACAACAGCTGGTGCTGAAATTTGGGGATTCATTAAAATATGCCTTCATTGGTTCATCCTTATTGTGACCGTTTCTTTTTATATTTTATTTAGAAGGAAAATGAACACACCAACGAACAGAAGGGGAAGTTGCCTTCTGAATCCGAAGGGCCCAAACAGGACTGTGTGCTGACAAAAAACCCCGTTCTGGATGATTTGTGTCCATCAGCCTCGTCCGTAAAGAGGACATTTTCGGAAATTGAGAGAAGCCCTGAGACGTTGGAGATTCAAGCCAAGAAAAGTAACACAGCCTATAAGAGATGCTACAAGATTCCAGAAGAACCTGCAAGGCCTCACACTGGCCTGACTGGAACATTTTCCAACATCCAAATCGGTAACTTCTTGGCCTCCACTGAGGAGATTGGGTTAGATGAAGAGCGGATCCCAACACTCTCCAGTCCCATCGCTAAAAGTCTGTTTAGTGAACTAGAGGAGCCAACAGAGGACGTGTTTGAAGACGGACCCAAAGACCTGTCGCCTTTCACATCACCCCTTACCGGGAACAGTGACATTTGCAGGAGCTTGAGCCTTGAATCTGATGGCTCTATGCATGAAACATCTCTCACTATGCAAAGCTGTGCATCTCTCAAGACAAGAAAGTTTGCCAAATACAACAATTCAGCATCATCTGATGAGCAAGAGGAACATAAAGATTCATCCATGGCTGAATCACTCCCACAAACTCCATCTGCTGTTGCTATGGGAACACCCAAACTTGGAAACTTTGTTCGGAAAGGATCTGAGTGCTCCTTCCTTAACCGGCTCCCTGATGGTGACACAAAGTCCTCCTCATTCCTCAAGCCGAGAAATGTTGTCAATTTCCGTAGCTACTGTAGCTCCATCAACCGCTCCAACATGTCGGGGGTGTCCCGGTTAAGCACCGGTTCTGTTGATGTTATGGAGGTATCCACAACTGCTTCCCGTCCCTCTGCATCTGGCAACGCAACACCAGTGCAGAAAAGTACCAGTTCCAACAGCTCTCTATTTCAGGTATGTTGTAGAACTCGCCACTGTCCTAAGTTTAAGACCTGCAGTCTTTTGTGCACATCTTGGGTAAAAATAAAAAAGATACATTTTTGGGATGACCTAAATGAGTTTAAGAGTTGTGGTGATGTACCTGTCGGGTGGTATTAAAATACATTGTAAATTACATAAACCACACAAAGGTTACTTATTTAAGGCTTTCTAATTCATTTTTTAAAATCATTTTCTCACATCAGACTCCTCAGCCCATGTCAACCGCTTACACCCCCTTCAGGACCCCAAAGAGTGTCAGGAGGGGGGCACTGCCTGTTGAGGGTGTACCCATTTTAGGAACTCCTGACTATTTGGCTCCGGAGCTTCTCTTGGGAAAACCACATGGTAAGAGCAAGTAACACAGCAACACACAAATAGCCCAAAACAGTCTTACTGTATTGACATTGGATGGTTGACTTGGTAGTCTTTTTGACAAGCCCTCTTGTTTGAGTTTCAGGAAGTTTTCAGTGTGGTAAGTTTATAGTGATATTGCTGTTTGTGCAAGTAAGCTTGCATGATCACCCAGCCTGCTAATATGCTAAAGGGAATGAGCTGATTCTTCCCCCTTGTCCTTCCCCTACTGGTTCTCTTTCTTCCCGTGGGATTGTTGGAAAAACTGTGGGCCTGGTCAGAGGCAAGGGGGAAGCATTTAAAACGTGTGATTAAAAAGGCTAAAGAAATGGGATTGTCTTTTAACATTCAGCTAACACCATTGTTACACGGAACAAGGTTAAATATTAGGGCAAATTGTGGCATATATTCAATGTGCTATATCACTGGCTTTATTTTTGTCAATCATCACACTGCAAATTGTCATCTAATAATAACGTATTGATCGGATATGCTGTTATTTATTCAAATGTTAACAAGCTGAGGGCAGTATTTCCTGTCAGTCGCACCATGCCATTGTAACATAATTGCTGACATTTGGATTCATGAACCGTCAGTCTATGACATGATTGATTCTGTGTGGCAGTATTTATTCATCAGCGTTCAAGATGTGTTCATGGCTCAACTCAATAGATAATTGTGATGGATTCTCAAATCCTTTCATTCATTGCAAAAGACTGTGTTACAACTACAATCCCAGACACACATCAATATTCATGTGTGTTAGATGTGGATGATAATTACAGATATTTTAAGCTACGTGTTGGTGATTGAAAGAAAATTAGTTCACACCAGAACCTCCTTTTGTCCTCAACCTAACTTATTCCCTGCTCATGCCACTGCAGTACAATTGGTGCACTCTAACTGAATCAAAGGGAAAACATGTTGAAGCCAGCAGCTGTATGAAATGTGACTTCTCTTTGCTTCTATCCAGACTGCATGGTGGATTGGTGGGCGCTTGGTGTGTGTCTTTTTGAGTTCCTCACAGGTGTGCCACCTTTCAATGATGATGCCCCTCATCTGGTCTTCCAGAATATCCTCAACAGAGGTGGGTTTTTTTTTTTTTTACAGAAACATCCTAACGTAAACCACAAAATGCTTTCAAATATGTAACTCGCACACAGCCTGTATTTGATGATCCACATGCCTAACAAATAACAATTTTAGTTTACAATATGATGTTAATGACATGCTTTTGTCACCACCTTCCTGTTCAAAATGGTTGCTTCTTTTAACACTCTCAATCATTTTAGATGTTCCCTGGCCTGAGGAAGAGGAGGAACTATCTGTAAACTCAAGAAATGCAATTGAAATTCTCCTAACCATGGACATGACTAAAAGAGCTGGTCTAAAGGGTGAGAACAGCCTTACAATATTTCAAATTATAATTTAAAACAATGTTGGTCCTCAGATCTTAGATTTCAGGGAACTTATCTGAAAAAAATACGAGAAATTCCATTAAATAAGAGAGTGCATGTGAATCACAGATTGTAGGATTTTGTTTTTTGAGCCTTGCAGTAAAAATGTTGTGATATAATATAATATAGTACACAACACATTAATCTATGTCCTATGGTTTTTTGATTTGTGTTAAACATTTATGTCTTTAAAAAGAAAAAGAAGAAAGGATGAGACTGTTTCAAGCAGCTGTAACCAGGAAATTATTACATAATTGAAGGCTAATATTGTTTTTAGTTTCAATGTCCTTAATAATAATCTAATTATATGACACAATTTAATTGGAAGTGTTCTCATCTTTTTTTCTGAACATCCACCAGAACTCAAGCCTCACCCGCTGTTTGAGGGCTTGGACTGGGACAACCAGCAAAACCAGCCAATGCCTTTCATACCGCAGCCAGAGGACGAAACCGACACCTCGTACTTTGAGGCAAGAAATAACGCTCAGCACATTGCCGTGTCCGGCTTCAGCCTCTAGAGTTAGTAACAGTTATGTTTTATTGAAGTGGCTGTCAACAAATTGCGGCTAGTAGTGAAGTCAGAATGTTGTGCGGGTTTGTGAATTCACTTGATCTCATGGTGAAAATTTCCCAGAAATCTGATCCACTATAAATACAAAAACCCGAATCAGAATCTGATAGTTTCTCTGTTCAAGGTGATAACATTTTAAAAAGCATTTGAGGTTTTTGCAATCACTGGTCATTAAAGCCAGGACAAAAGCCATATCTGTAAAATGATTACTTAGTTTACGAGTAGAAAGTAAACTTGTTTTAAACCTTGGTATTACCATATTTAATAGTTATTTATCTTAAATTAGGTTCTTATACTAGCAAAGTGGTATTTGCTTTGGCTTTACCCTATTAAAGGCTTTGATCGCTGTGTTGTGATATAAATGAAATACAAGATAAGTAAGTTCATGTAGATGTGTCACCTACTGCCGTGCCAACACCCAATTTATTTTGCCGCACTGTTCCTCATGGTAATGTTTTCTCTTGCTCTTAGCAGACTGGGTGGGCGAGTCGCCTGAATTTATCATTAAGGGATACAAAACCGCTTCAAAAATACTAATATATTCATCAATAATCTATTTTAAATGTAAATTGTGTTAATAACTTTCAGTGTCATTGTTTTAAGACCATAGCAGGTTACTTTATGTTGTAGCAGAACAGTTTTTTCTGCTTTTATGTCATCTTTGTTCGTTGTTTTGATGTGTTCACCAGGTCATATTCCACACTACTAGTTTTAAGGATAAGTTCACAAGGCTCCGAGTTGCGTGTGAAATTGTATCTTGTACAAATAAAATTTGTTTGTAACATAACGTAATTTGTGCTGTCTCTTATGTTTAGTGCCTGAAGGAAAAGTTTAAATATTGTCTAAAAATAGCTTGTTTTAACAAAAGTTAAATAAGATAAATATGAATCTCAATTTTGTCTGGAAAATATGAATATACAGTTGGCAGCTCCTTTCTCAAGCAATTTTGAGATATGTCTGGTTATGCAAGAGTAGCAGCCAGTTAGCTAGCAATGCTTAGTTGGTTCCGCCCAAAGCTATATAGCCTATATAGGCCTATATCATTTTTTTAATCAATACAAAGTTTAACATTGACAAAGCGTTACAGAGGTTAAGTGTGGGTAATCCTTTTTTAACCAGGTGCTGTCATGCTAATTTGTTACTGTTTGAAGACAGTCAAGCTTAACCTTTTTCAAACTGTTTATGCTGAGCTAAGCTAAAGCTCTGCTAGCTGTAGCACATTTTTACAGTAGGCCTACAATATGAATCGTTTTCAGTCTTCTCACCAATTCTAGAAAATACAGTTCATAATAAATGTCTCTAAATATCATACAATTCCTTTCAAAAGATACTGGAAACAACATAGTTTATGAAAACTTTATTTGAGGCTTGGATTATCACATGCAAACACCACTCTGTCCACAGGCAGAGGGCTATTAAGCCTTAGCACAATTTTAGTAGAAAGATAAACTATTACTTCTTTATTAAAACATAATGGCTCTGGAAGATTAGTGCTATTGCAGATGCAAAACTTGTAAATTATATAGTATTCTATATCCATAATACATGAGAATGCAATTAAAATACTGCATTTTAATCTGAACTGTACAGCTATTGTATAGAATTTACATAGATCTCACTTCTTTGCACACATCATGTTAACCATATCACTCACAAAATCTTTGCACAAACATATTACATCACGCATTAAAATTATACAATATAGAAAAACTTGACTTGGTCAAACAACAGTGACAAGTATTATGCATTAATAATTGGACAGCTGTCTAGATTCTCATTTTCATCACCTAAAGGCTAAGGTATTATGATTAGTGATAATTTGGTCCAGCACAGCAACAATTATGCTACAATTTGTCAATGTAAGAAACCATAATGCCACCTACAGTATAAATGTACCTTAATGATGATGAGGCACTTCTTCGATTTGGAAAACAATTTGAAGTAGATACCAATATGACATAAAGCACAGATTGATATGCAGCAGGACAGGTGATGAAAACATATTAATAACCTTGTCTCACATACACATAAAACTTAGTGGCCATGTAAACCTAATTTATACAGCTGAAATCTGGTGAGCAATGCCTTCATTGTAACTTTCTAAAAGCAATAAATATTAACTTAATCTCAGAATTAAAAAAAAATCTCACATATCAATATATTTTTACACTCAGTCCTCCCTTCTGAACTACAATTATTACATTTGTATTATAGCAGCATTGCCTGGGCAACTAATGACAGAGAATTGTGAAAATGTTTAACCACATCAAGCACTATGTTTAAAAAAAAAGAAGAAGAAGAAGTATCAAGCCCATTTTATGTGCAACACAGCCTTAGTTATAGAAATACAGCACTGGAAAAATGTGTATTGACCACTGCAAAATCATCAGTTTCTCTGGTTTCACTATTTATAGGTATGTGTTTATTTTATAAACTACTGACAACATTTATCTGTGTTGGAATTCAACTGACACTGGAATGGAATGGCTGTCATACATGTAGAGATTGTGATTGAAGAAAAATGTGCAGTGGTCTCTTAATTTTTTCCCCCAGAGCTGTAATTGAGATGCTGCCGTCGTTGGTTTATAAACAAGCAGGAAACGTTGAATCTATGAGTTCCACCTCTCAACACAAACCATTTCTTAGAGGAAAATAATCTGGTACAGTGGCATCATCTTAAAAAGCGTGTACAATCACAGGCTGCAACCCCTTACATTCATGTCACTATTTGATTCCACATCCACAGTACTTGAGAGATGGCTCCCTCTCACTCATTACTCTAGGCTCCTTCTTCATAGTGCAAAAGCAAATTACTGGGCTGTGGGTCTAAGCAGGGGGGAGTTACAGCCATTAGCAACCCAACCAAAGACATTTAGAGGACTCTGTATCCTCTATGTGCATGGGTGTTTGGGTGAGAGCAGGTTTTAGTTGATTCTTCTACAAGGGAATAAGAAAGTTAAGAAGTTAAATATGGTTTTGCAAATACACATTTTAATATTATTACTTTCTTTAAAAATAAAAAAATACCTTCTCCTTTGCAGGTATAGGCGGATTAGCCACTGTACAACAAAGGGCCAAATAACAGCAAAGGCCAAACTGGTCGGAGAAATGTCGAAAGGCCACCAGGATGGTTTCTGGGGGGAAATATGAATAATTAATACCAATTGGGATTAGTTAAAATGTTTAAATCATTTAGGTTACCACTAATGATCATAAATCTTTCAAATAAGCTAAAACATGGTTTTGGTGAAAAGTGATTTTCTTTTTTTAAACAATATATATATATATATATATATAGTAAAATGTATTTTAAACTGCTTACCCGACTCCTCTTATTCACCGGGGTTGATCCACAAGTTGGAGACAGAGACATTGATCTTGCCTGCAGGGTAAGGAATCAAAAATAAAAGAACATAAAAGTCTGAATGTCTACAGTGCCAAAGTACAAGGGTTTTATTTATCTAAGCCTAATCTATGCTATTTTTAGACGGGGTACTTTGCCCCTTAATGCTCAATGAAAAAGTTCAAACGATTTGAACAAAGAATGGAAGATTTTCTATGTGGTTGATTCTAAATTGAAAGTGCGGTTGATGTACACGCATCGACTGAAGCTGCACCTTAATGGTTTCAAATAGCTGCATCTGGGAGATATTTATAGACTTTACCTGCCGTGGACATGGTTGTTGTTAAAGGTTTATAAAATGGTAGAAGATAGTAAAACAATACCAATACAATTGTTCAGGTTCCTAGTTCACATATTTATATAGCTTATTTTGTCAGGCAATAGCCTAATCCTAAAATGTATTCAGATTCCTTTCAAAGAGGACCAGAAAATTAACAGAGATGTTTTTCTTATCATGATGAGAGGACAGAGGGGTCTGACCTGGCTTGCAGTCAGAGCCTCCAGGGTGTGCAGCCTCTCCAGAACGCTCTGCATGTCCTCCTGCAGTCTAGCCAACACTACAACTATCTGCTCATTCAGGCTTCCTCCGGGTGTGACAGCTCCCCCCCAGCGCTCCCTGTCCCCATCTCCACCACCATACATGGGCATCAGAGATCCAGAGCCATGGCCTGGAGACCTGGAGCCTAAAAACACAGAAATTACTTAGAATTGATGTTTGCAAACAGCCAAAAAAAGAAAAATGTACAGTTGCCTTCTTCAAAATGCTGTGTGGAGCATAAATGCCCTATTTAAGAAAACCTTACCTCCTTCTCTTCTGACCAAAGAGCTGTTAGACATGTCTGCATTCAGTCTCTGTCTCTGCGACACTGTTCCACCGTTCTCTCCATCTTCTCCTCCACACATGATACCCTCTGGTGCACCGTCAACATCGTCCTGGGGCTCCTCTAAAGGGGACAAGACGTGGTTCTCGTCTTCATCCAGGTCGTCTAAAGACTGGTTATGCTCTGAGCTCTGGAGAAGATGTACATTAAATATTCATGTATGACAGCCAAGTAGCTACAAACACTGTGCTAAACAGTTTTAAGGTGCTACTTGCCTCTTCCTGTCCGAACTGGTCCACAGAATCACAGTAGACTTCGCTGTCTGAGTCACTGGCCAGCTGACTGGGACCAGACACATCTAAACCAGGATCTGACATCAGTACAAAGGGCAAGAAGAGGGGAAAAAAAGAAGCTCAGACTCATACTGGAATGTAACTAAGTGGCATGGAGGAAAGCAGCATTCACTATATTTTTGTTTTGCCATTTGATCCAATAATTGAGTCCATTAAAAGGAGCAGCTGATGTGTAAAGTGCTAAGATTCAGTCCCTGAGTTGCCACAGCTCTGTTTAGCAGTTTAATTGATCACATGGTACACAGCCCTCAGAAACACAATGCAAGATTTAAAAGAGAACAGAATGCTGTCATAGCAGTCGTTTTCTTCCTCACCTGTGTGGTGACCGTTGAGCAGAGGCTCAGCGACTGAGCCCTCCTGAGAGGGGACACCGTTCAGGCCGGCCTTGGGATGACTCCCATTGGTCAGATGGGTGACCCCGTTGGACACTTTACCGTTGGAAAGAGGCACTTTGTGTCTCTTGGTTGAACCCTTCTTCTTTGGTTGAGAAACTGTTGATTTCTTGTCTGAAATGAATGCCCAAAAAAGTCAACTAAATGTTTTTTTACAGTACTGTTGGACACAGTATTGATAACGTTGTTACCTTTTTTGACCTCCTTTATCACTTCTTCTTCTTCCTCTTTTTCTTCTTCTTCTTCTTCTTCTTCTTCCTCTTCTTCTTCTTCTTCTTCTTCTTCTTCCTCCTCTACTTCTTCCTCCTCCTCTTCTTCATCCTGTGTTTCTTCCTCTGACTTTTCCTTCACTTCCTTTGCCTTGAGTCTGGCAGGACGAGTCTCCAGGGTGCCGTTCATCTTCATTGTTCTGACGATGCTCTTTGCGATGCTCTTCGATGGCATTGCATTCACCATTGAACTAAACCCTGTGCAGAAAAAATGATTTCATTTCAATACCATAAACACAAAGGAATGCTTCCTTTGAGGTTAAGGTTACTAATACTTTATTAACGTGAAGATTTAAATCAAAATTAGGTAACCACTTAGACCAAGGATGTTTGCAAAACCCTTATGTAGTTTATGTAAATGTAATAAGACCCATGTTCTGTAACACTAATTCACCAAGTGCAACTTGACTGCTACTAAGCACCAAAAGCATCTAATCTACAACTCCAGACAAATACTATATCACTAAAACTATATCACCAGACTCAAATATTTACACAGCAATATACTTGCCATCCATTTGCCTAGCAAACTGTGTCAAACGGGCTGAG